CCCCCGGGGCGGCTGGAGGAGCGGAGCGGGGCCGGCACCCCTGCCCGGCGCTGGGGCGTCGGGCCCCGCTGCGACCCGGATCCCGTGCTGGGAGGGATGGCTCCACCGCCCTTCCAGAGCCGGCAGAGAAGCCAGGCGGCCGGGCTCCCCGCTCGCCCCCTGCACCGCCGCCCCGTCGGACTTCCTCTGCACCGCGGGGGATGGGACCAGGTGGGGGCGGTGTCCACAGCCCCTTTTCTCCTGCCCAGCTCTGTCCCGCGCTGTCCGTCCAGCAGCTCCCCGTGCGCCGCCCCTGCGCACCCCTCTGCCAGCCTAGAGCCTGCCTATCCCGATGTACCCCCTCCCTTCCCCTCTATCTAGCTATCTACCCCCATCTACCCTTCTATCTATGTATTCATCCGCACATACCCCTTGTCCATCTGTATTTATCCATCCGCTGTTTGTCCCCCACATACCACCTTTCTGCCTGTCTACTCCCATATACCCGCCGTCTGTCTGTCCATTCAGCCCCACACACCGCCGTTATCAGTCTCGCCACCCGCCTGCCTGTCTGTCTAGCCCAGTGATTCTCAGCCAGGGGCCACCACACCCTGGGGTGCCCTGGGATCCTTTCCGGGGTGCCAGGCAAGGCTAGCGCCCTTCCCGTGCAGGCAAGAGCAGGGGTTTCCAACAGGCGTCCCGGGTGGGGAAAACACCCCGAGCTCGGCCCTGCTCCCCGGTCTGGCGGGTCGCGCTGGCTGCCCTGGCGCCGGCGCTGCTCCGGGCCACGTGCGGGGCTCGCGCTCGCACTCCCGCGTGGCTGGGGTACGAAGGGGCCCTACCCCGCTCCTGAGCTCGTCGCCACGCGCGAGTAGTGCTAGCGTGTGCCCGTGGGCAACCAGCAGCCAGAGGGTGGCTCAGAGCCGGGGTTTTCCCAGGAGGCACCGAGCCGAGGAGCGCTGGGCCGCCCCACGCCCCGCTCCGGCTGCCCCTGGCCTGTCCCCCCCGTCTGACCCCAGTCACCCCTCGCTGCTTCGCCCTCTGTCCATCACTGACAGCCCCAGACACCACCCACCGCTCTGCTCCTCCCTCCCTCTACCCCTCCTTTCACCCCACCATCTCCCACCCTCCCTCCCTGCACCCCCC